AATACAGGCGTAACAGAACTCGTGGAGACAGGCGTTGGCGTACGCCCTGTCCTGCACTCGGGTCAGACACACGGGACAGTCGGGTTGGCCCACTTCGTCCGGCACGACTGGTTTGTGGTGACCGCCGCCGCCGACGCTGTGATTCCGACTACCGGTGGCCGCAGAAGTGTTTGGTGTCTCCGATGAGGGCCTGGATCCACGAGTGGTGTTGTTTTGTCGGTCATTGGGCTGTCGGTTCGAGTGATGGCTGTCCTCTGAATTACTCATACTATCAGCGCTTCTAATGAGTGTCTCTTATGTCTCAAATCTAACTATCCTTTGTGTCTCACAATTGCGTACAAAAGTATAAAATCTTTTGTTACTTTATTGTACAAATTAATTTTAAATTAGTTTTATATTCAATGAAATAGTTTTTTATTGGAAATAAAAGTAAAAATACAATATTTTTTATGTATAATTATCTTAATACTACAGTACATTTGGTTTATTTAACAGCAGACTGAAAATTTGTTTATCAATTAAATGAACACTGAATCGATTGGTTAGGGTAATTTATATCTTTTCATTACTTATAAACAAGTTTATTAAACACCTTACTTACCAATTTACCTTTGTGTAAAAACCAGTGTTAATTCATCTTTACAAAGTTTATAAATATAACATATTTTTATAACTGGATAATAATTGTAAAATATTACAGTAGTTTCATTGAATGAATTGAAATACTGTAATGTATATGAAATGAAAAGAATGGTAATATAAGAATTTCAATATTTAATTCAAGATTTTATTAAGGAACTTTTTAATTTTAGCATTTAATTAACCAATTTAATTCATTGTACGGTATTTCCTAATAAAATAATAGAATTATTCTAATTTGTAAAACAATAAAAACAATTCAACAAATTGTTTAGGACATATTTATTATTATTACTATTTTAATCTAATAACAATGTTTATGAGTTGATAGAATAATTTATCAATTTTGTTAATGTTATACTGTATTAGATTTAATTAAAGTACTAATCAAAATATTTGATTAATTTTGTGTAATGTATGTGGAAAACTATAGTAACAATAATTACTTATATTGTATTTTTACATCCATTTCATAAACCTATTATAAAATATAATTATAATTTATTTTTAAATGATTGGCAGTACTTTGCTTTAGGTTACTAGTTTTATATTTTATAATCATAAGTCAATAAAATTAAATTTCTTATATCTATATTTTGCTGAAACTTATTATGAAATAAGGCATTTTTATAAACCTTTTTATTAATTTATTGTCATATTAATTAGAATTGAAGTATTTTTCACAAAAAAATTAAATCCTTTATATACATTACAGTATTCAATGTTATATTGATAGTTTACAGTAAGTCTATAAGAAATAAAAGTTTGTCCAAAATGTTTAAGACATTGGCTCTATTTGTTTCTATCATTCAAATCATACAATGTTTACAATTGACAGAAAAATCATGGACTTCATGCCGTAATATAAATTTCAAATATTTATTTTGCTTATGAATAGCAAAAATAGTCTAATTTCTCATGTCTTCAGATGATGTGAATACAGTCAAATCGATAGACGTAACACCTTGTGATGCCGAGCCCTGTACATTCACCCGGGGCACTACAGTATCTATAAAGGCACCTTTCACTCCTGGTTATTATCATTAGTTTCAAAACTATTTGATTCATAAGTTACTAATTGCTTATATACGTGGATCAGCTTATGAGGGACAGACATGTAATATGGAGATGAAGGCGCTGATGGGCAGTTGGTACCCAATAGTCCTGCCTGGGCAAACGGTCTGTATGGACCTGACAGGGGATTTCGGACCGCAACTTTTATGAGAGCTGATATTCTAACGTCAAAGACTCCGTGACGGTCTTCATTTACTTATTAAATATAACTTAAACTATTAATTGATTAATAACTTACTGTAAATGTTTTAAAAGGGAGAGCGACTGACTCGTTGGAAACTAATATGCGATTCCGGTGCCACTGAAATATTCTGTGCTGATATCACCATCAATATTAAATAGTTGTGTCATTTTTGTTATACTAATACAAGAATTTAATTCAATGTCTATTAAATCTAAATTGTTTACAATTCTAAGAAACAAATAAAATCACTTTTAAAATGAGTAAACAGTACAGTATTTGCAATGAATTCCTCCATAAAAACTAACGCAAGGATTAATTTAGATATTTGTTTGTGTATTGTGTTAAAGAATAAATTTGTTATTTTAAATTTATTAAACCAAAACATTGAAAACAATTAAATTTAATTATAAATATAATAATTATTAAATGAGATATATTATTTTTATGAATTGTAAACTGCAAAACAATTAAAAGTAGAAAACAATAGAAGTTTTTAAAAACAATTAAAATGTTTTCAAATGCCATTAGNGAATTGTAAACTGCAAAACAATTAAAAGTAGAAAACAATAGAAGTTTTTAAAAACAATTAAAATGTTTTCAAATGCCATTAGAAGTGAAGTTCGAGTAAAAGTAAAACACAAATGTCTTCGGGAATGGAGACAACACTTCCTGCAGATAACCACAAGTTATGGAATATTTGTGAAGAAATTGGTTGTGAAGGGAATGGGATGTCAGGAATGAAAGGACTGGTGTTGGGACACATAGATGACATTGTGACATGTTGCCAATCAATTTGCTATTAAATTAAATATAATACAAATAAAATTGATTGTATATAAATTTGTTGTATTGTATTGCAATATACAACAATTAAGTTCCGTATATACCTAATTATTATTAACATGCACAGTATTTAATTATTTAATTTAAAGTTTCAAGCATTCCTCACTTAAATAATATTTAGATTAACAGCTTAATTATAAATATGAACCTAGAATCAATTAATTTACTCATATTTCAGATATTGGTTAGTATTTCATTTTGTTTGTCAAATTCAGAGCAAACCTCAAAAGTGGATCAAAAGCTAAATGAGACCATTATGTTGAGGAGTATTAATATTACAGATAATGGTCTAAATGGCAGTCATTTGGACACAAAGAACACAACAGTATTTGACATCGAGTTCCGAATCTTGGATCCAATGAACTCATCTCTGATCTCAAGTAATGATGAGGAGGTGACCACTGATCGGACAGTTATGAAACGGTTTCTCATGTCTTACGGCTTCTTCATCTTCTTCGTGGTCTCATCTCTTATAGCCATCATTCTCACCATAACTATTGGCTCCGAATACTTCAAAAGTTTGTCACAATTTTCAGTCTTTCATCTCATAATTGATAATAAATTTATGATTTCTTTATAGAAAGAGAGAGATTGAAGAAAGCGATTGAAACTAATCTCAAGAATAAGAATACAAATAGTGATCAAAATAAAGAGACAGAAATTAAATGATTAATACTATAATAGTCCCTATTACTTTTAAATAAATTATTTACTAACTGTATTTCTATCATTGACCACATGACATTATTTAAGACATATTGAATTAGAGTTACAGATATTAAAAGAATATTGAATATAACAAATAATTCCTAATCACACTATTTTTAATGAATTTATTATATGATATAAATTAAAATAAAAGTATTTTTCACAATTGATTACATTTTTACCCTTTATAACGTTATACCATTTCTCAAACTCTATAAGAAAGTAAAATTGTGTCCAAAATGTTTAAGACATTAGTTTTATTTGTTTCATTCATTCAAATCATACAGTGTTTGCAATTGACCGATAAATCGTGGACATCATGTCGTAATGAATCTATTATAATTACTTATTATTTTATATTTATGAAAACTGATACTAAAATTTGTTATAACTTATAATCAGATGATGTGAACACAGTCTCATCGATAGACATAACACCGTGCGATGCCGAGCCCTGTGTATTCACCAGGGGCACTTCAGTGTCAGTTACGGCACCCTTTACTCCCGGTTGTTATCATTATTTTCTATACATTTTGAATATTACGTTAATAATAATTGATCTGTATTTCAGTTTATGAGGGAAAGAGTATTCACCAGGGGCACTTCAGTGTCAGTTACGGCACCCTTTACTCCCGGTTGTTATCATTATTTTCTATACATTTTGAATATTACGTTAATAATAATTGATCTGTATTTCAGTTTATGAGGGAAAGACATGTAATCTGGAAATGAAGGCACTGTTGGGCAGTTGGTACCCAATATCAGATGAATACGTTTGCCAGACATATCTCGACTGTCCACTGAAACCTGGTGTCCAAAGTACCCTCAACTATAAAACACTGGTTGACCAGGCACTGCCAGCAGTCAGTCATATAATTTATATTGAATTCAATTTAACTGCTAATTAATTGATAAAAACGAAATTGTTGAACAGGGTGAAACTCTGACTCGTTGGAAACTAATATGCGATTCCGGTGCCACTGAAATATTCTGTGCCGATATCACCATTAATATTAAATAACATGTCGATTCTGGTGTACTAACATAAGGATTATAAGGATTACGGATTATAAATCCATTTCTATTAAATCTAATTGTCCTTAAATTGTCGTTTAATATTGAATTTTATGAAACAAATAAATCCTTTTCTGTTATCTGTTTAAAAAGTTTTAGTTATTGAATAGATTCTGTGATTCAACGCAAACTCAACACTAACTCCATATGTGAGCCATAACTGGAAACTAGTTTTCATTCATTCATTGAATGTTTGTTTTGATTCAACAAAAAGTTTTGAAACTTTTTTGTCTAAACTTTTAACTCAAATCCAATGAATCGATAAATTGAAGGACAAAACCAATGATTAGTTTTATTATCATTTGTTGACTTAACATTTGATCCGCAGATTAGACACCATTACTGAGTCTCCACTCCACTCGTCAGCCATGTCTTCAGATATGTTTAAATTCGGTATAACTCTTAACCACCAATTCAATGATCACTGAACTGATCCCCAATTCATTACCACTTCTCGCAGACAACAAAGTGTTTGAAAACATAAACATCAATACATATAACGTGAAGGCGATGGCCAATGATCTGCGGCAACGGTTCCACGGGTTAGACACGGAGACAACGATCCAGGAGTTGGTGTTCGCCATCAGGAGTATAGATCTGACCACTCTTTCTGGCGATGACACCGACGCCAACGTTCAGCGCCTGTGCTATCGAGCGGTGAATCCGTTGCGAAGACACTTAACCTCCGCGTTGACCGCAAACCACAAGCTGTGGGAACCGCTGACCACAGCAGCCGTCTGTGTCTACCCGTCCAGAGCCGGCGATTGCGTGGAAGCGCTCACCCGATTGACCACGGATTCCGGTGCCGACCATCGCGTGTCCATCGCATGCGTGGCCACAGGCTTTCCGTCCGGTCAGTACTCACTCGACACACGTCTTCAGGAGATTGAGTCGGCTGTGAAGGGCGGCGCCCATGAGATCGATGTCGTGGTCGACAGAGCGCTGGCACTGAACGGTCTCTGGAGTGAAATGAGCGACGAATTGATGCAAATGAAGCGCATTTGCGACAGAAGTGGCGCTCATCTCAAAGTGATTATAAGCGCCGGAGAGTTGGGTTCACTCGACAACGTCTATAAAGTCTGTCATCCAGTCGTCTAACCATTTGTCTCGTGTCTTAAACCACTTGATCCCCGACTGTAGGCCAGTCTGACTGCTATGCTATCGGGCGCTCACTTCATAAAGACGTCGACCGGAAAGGAGACACTGAATGCGACGCTTCCGATAGGTTTGGTGATGACGAGAGCCATCGGCGACTTCTACCGCATGACTGGCCATAGAGTGGGCTTCAAAGTGGCCGGTGGTCTGAAGACAGCGCAGGACGCCATCGATTGGATCGGTTTAGTGAAGAGCCAATTGGGCACCGATTGGCTCAATAGAGATCTGTTCCGAATCGGCGCCTCTTCTCTACTCAACGATATTGAAAGACATTTGTTTGGTTTGGTTCTCAATAGACAACCAAATCATTACGAGTTATCTCTTTAGATGTAATCTCTTTTTAATTAAAAAACAATTACTCTATTAATTAATATTCTATTGTATTCATAGAAACTATATTCTGTACAGAATCTGTAGATTATTAAATAATACAGAATTATATTAATTATCGGTATATTACGGTATTTTAATTGTTGTTTTAAAAGTTTTAAATTCAAACCGATATTGTCTTTAATTGAATTGAATTCACTAAAGAGTCAATCATTTGCGGATATATTCTCACATAAGAGTCTAAACGATGTCCAACTCTATGAACAGGAGGTCTTTCGACACCAGAATATGTGACGATTTGTGTGAAGTATTGCTGTCTTACGAGACATTCACCGATCGATTCCGTCACCAATCAGTCTCTAAACAGTTCCAGAGATTGGTTTACAATACTGTCAGAGATATCACTATTGATAGACAACTCATAAAGAGAATGACTGAACGGAACCAATCGGACGAAGAGTACTTAGACACCATTCGTATGGCAATTATTATGAGAAAGTGTCCAAACATTGAGCGCATCGATTGCTCTCCTGTTTTTGATTATAGGACACAACTGATGGAAGCCATCCATGAGTTTAAAGCTTATTGTCTCGAACTTAAGGAATTACATCTCAGTATTCACTGGTTTGATGAAAAGTTTAAAGAATTCTTGTTTCAAAAGTTTGCCAAAATGTTAACTCATTTGGATCAGCGCCCAGATCACATAAAATATCTCATTAATTATCCAAATCTGTGTCATCTGACTGTTCACAGTCTTTCCCATGTCTTTGATTCCGAAAATCAAGTACTGGTCAAGAATTTACAGACATTTAAGTTTGAAATGAATTATGAATTCAATGCCACACTGTTTGACACATTCATTGCCGCCAATCAGTCACTCAAACGGCTTATCCTCTCTTTTCCTCCCTTTCCTAAAGAAGATGTCTTACATTTCATGAGACAATTGACTCGCTTTTCGGGATTACTTGAATTGGAAATCACTTTTAGTATACATTACAATAACAACGGACCCATTTTCCTCTCGTATGCAATGCACGAGTCGCTCAAAGAAATCGGCGGAAAGTGTTTGTCGCTCAAGAAGTTGTCACTCTATCTGAGGTCAAGTCATCAATCATATAATGACCAGATTATGGACTCAATACGACATTTCCGGGCATTAAAACGTCTGCATTTGAATATAGAGAGTGTTGACCTCATCGACCATAAATGGGATTCATTTGAATGGATGAGTCGATGGCCACAAAGTATCACTCATTTGACACTATACTTGTATCCAATGAGTAGAGAATTCATTACCAAAATCCACACAATCCTACCGGCGCTGCAGTTCGTGGATATCACAATCAACTCTTTTATTGAAACTCAGAATAGTTTGAATGTGTTCTCAAGACTACCACTCCTTCAGACACTTAGCATCCACAGCAATGATACAATTGATGTCAATTTCAGTGATATGATTGCATTGCACGAGAAGTGTCCGAAACTCCGATATATTAATATGTTTTCGTTTTATTTAAAGTTTAAATTTTAAATTTTAAAGTAAAGAATCTAGAAATATTTCTATATAAAAGCATTTATTCTGTATTGAATTTAATTACATTGTGTAATGATTTGATGTTTCATTGAATTCATATAAATTTTTGCTAATATCTGAAAAGTTCAATAAATTAATAAAAACATAAATAAAATAAATGTGTGATTAGTTAGTGTTTGTGAGTACCGGTGCCCTTAATTCAGTACATCATTGCAATCACTTTCTCGGCATCCACTCTATGAAAGTCAATCAAATGTTGCCTTAAGTTAGTGAGTGTTGTGAACACATCTGAACAGAGACTGCAATGAATGGTCTGATTATAATTGTGTTGATTTTCGGTGACATATGGATTGGATTGAGTGGTAATCGACACAATGGGTTGCGATGTCTGACTAGTGGTAAAGAATGTATGCGAAGACTCGTGTGTTGGCGAACGGCTTGTGTTGAGTGTATGAGTGGTATAAAAGTTGCGGTTATTGTCAGACCTTTGGTTGAAATCACAGAATGACAGCTCAGTTGCGTTCACATCGACAGCACCGGTGTTCGCGGTGTCGACACTCTGATAGCATTGAGTCATATTAATTGTGGTCAACGGGTGGACACTCGTCAGTGGGAGGCATAGGCTTTGTGTCAAAGACGGCAGGTTTAGGGTGAGAGGTGTGGACAGGGATATGAGTTGGGACTGAGTTCCCGTCAGAACTCCATTCAACTCGACATTCACTTCAGTTTGCGTCTCATTATTGATGTCTCCGTGAATTAACGAGTCTTTAAATGCTGTCATATCTGTCTCACTATTATTAGGACTATTGGAAAGGGTGGACACATCTGAGGCGGTAGTGGGAGTGGGGGTCAACATGTGTGGCAGCACTTGGATCTGAATTCTGGTCTCATTCTGTTCTAGAGGCTCACTATTATCCTCTTTGGACTTCTTAGCGCTGATGTCGTGATTCAAATGCATTTTCGAGTGATTCTTGAGCTCCTGCTTCTCGATGAACGCCTTACCGCACACTTCGCACTTGTGTTTGCGGTCACCGATATGCCGGCGCACGTGTTTAGCCATATTTCCCTGCGATAGGAACGTGCGCTGACAGAACCTACACTCCCAGCGCTTGAGGCCCAGGTGCGAGTCCTTATGCATACGGAAGTTAGTGCGCGATCTGAACGTCTTTCCGCACTCCTCGCACTTGAAGGGCCGCACATCCGAGTGAATGATCATATGTGAGGTGAGGTGGCGTTTGATTGTGTACTTCTTGCCGCATATGTCGCACATGAAGGGCCGCTCCCCTATGTGTGAGCGTATATGAGCCGTGAACCCGGTCTTGTCAGCCAGCAATTTGCCGCAATACTCGCATTTGAATGGCTTTACCCCCGAATGGGTTCTGTAGTGTCGCTCCAAATAGCTTTTGCTGCGAAAAGTTTTGCCGCACTGTTCGCACATAAACGGCTTGTCCTCCAGATGTATGTGCGAGTGTTGGTTGAGCTCCGACTTGGATATGAAACACTTGGCGCACACCTCGCACTTGAAGGGCCGGTCGGGGTTCTCGTGGATCCGTTTGACGTGATTGTTAAGCGCCGTCTTATTGAAGAGTTTGAGACCGCAGTGGGGGCACCGGTTGGGGTTGTCGTCGCTATGCGCCAACATATGGGTCTTCCACGAGTACTCCCACCCGAAGAGTTTGCCGCAAATGTCACACTTGAGGTGTTTGGACGCGCCGTGAGTTCTGTAATGACTCCGGAGTCGTGTCTTACTGTTCCAAAGAGAGCCACAGATCTCGCACTCCAAGCCCTTCGAGTTCTTCTGTCCATTCAAATCACATAATTATCTCAATTTCAAAGATCTTGTAAATAATTTCATCAAAAATAACATACTTTTTGTTTGGTTCCCTTTTCTTCAGCCACTGTCTCGATGCCCTCTTCGACTGTAGCCTCTTCTTCGTCATCTTCTTCTACTTCTTCCACTTCTTCCTCATCTCCCGCTTCCTCCTGATGTACAGAAGCGCCCAAATCTGTCAAAACCATGGCGTCGATTGTGTACTGACTTTGGTCTTCATTACTGCCATTACTAATCATCTCATTATTGATACTATTATTTGCAGTGATGTCTGGATTAGTCTTTTGCTCGTCACTGATATTGAAGTCGAGATCACAGTAAACAAGTCTTTGTGGTTGAGTAGCCTTCCGGCGCCGCAATCGCGTCGACACCGACCCTACCGTTCCGTCGCTCAACCCATTGGAACCGGTGGTCACGTGTTGTACTAAATCAGCGAAACTCTCGTCGCAATCGTCCTCAACGGTCACCACAAGTCTGTTGGCGGACATCGAGTACTCAATGGCTGTCTGATGGTATGTCTCGCCATCGGAGTTGGTCTCCTCTGCCGGCGCCAAACGTATGGTGTCTGAGATGTCTGTCGTGATCATGGAGTTCGCGATGTCGAACGAACTCGAGTTCATTATCTCGTTGGTGATCGAGTCCATGGACTGCGAGTCACCGAAACAGTTCAGTCCAGTCATCGGCATGTCTTTCAATTGGTCTCGTCTTCAGCCGATTTATTACTATCACATCAAAAGGTATACAAAAATAATTGATATATTTGTTAGAATTAATAGATTTAATAAAAAATTCCTATAAATTATAACACTGTATAAGAATTGAGAATTTGTTTTATAAAAGTATACCGGTAAAAGTTTTTAAGGAATTAATTACTGTATTTTGTGTTATAATTATAACATTCCCAGTGAATCCCTTATGCAATCATTGATTTTATGAATAATTCCTCAAGAATTAATCAATAAATTCTGTATTTATTTTATTATTTGTAGAATATTTCTAAATTTTAAACAAGTTTTCTAAACTATAGCCAAAAGTTTATTAAAATTTAAAGAATTTTTAATATTAGAGCCGTTTGTATGTATAGAAAATGCCAATATATGGTAGACATATCATGGCAAAGTGGGATGCCTTTAGAGATATACATGCAAAATGCGAGTGCTATGGCTTGACCACACCTAATGTGCTACTATTGCCTCACTAAATTACCCAGCATACACCAATAACTTATTGACAACCCGGTTCCAATTGATTTATGAGCATGCACTCGAGCAATTCATGTAAATACCTTTTCAGGTGTTAATTGTTTGTCTCGTAAAACAATTTTAATCAATCATTTGTTCCCTTTGATCACATCCAGCGATGGTTTTATACACATCTCTAACACAAATGTCTGGACTTTTGTGCCCAAAACATCAAACTGTTGAGAGACTGATTGGTGACGGAATCGATCGGTGAATGTCTCGTAAGACAGCAATACTTCACACAAATCGTCACATATTCTGGTGTCGAAAGACCTCCTGTTCATAGAGTTGGACATCGTTTGGACTCTTATGTGAGAATATATGAGGAAATGAGTGACTCTTAAGTGAATTCAATTCAATTGAAGACAATATCGGTTTGAATTTAAAACTTTTAAACAACAATTAAAATACAGTAATATACCGAGAATCAATATAATTCTGTATTCTTTAATAGTCTACAGATTCTGTAGCACAGAATATACAGAATATAGTTTCTATGAATACAATAGAATATCAATTAATAGAGTAATTGTTTTTTTTATAGAAAAGAGTTTACATCTAAAGAGATAACTCGTAATGATTTGGTTGTCTATTGAGAACCAAACCAAACAAATGTCTTTCAATATCATTGAGCAGAGAAGAGGCGCCGATTCGGAACAGATCTCTATTGAGCCAATCGGTGCCCAATTGGCTCTTCACTAAACCGATCCAATCGATGGCGTCCTGCGCTGTCTTCAGACCACCGGCCACTTTGAAGCCCA